CACTTCGAGCGGCTTTCACGTTGGTTCGCTTTTCGCGTTCTTTCATAAGAATCTTTTCCAACAAGACGGTCCTCACGTGACGTTCGTAGCGAACCTTGTTCCGTTCGTAGTAACGCCAGGAGCGCCCCGTTCGTAGCGTCCGATCGCTACGAACGGAAGCGATGCCCTTTGTTACGTTCGTAGCGAACCTTGTTCGAATATATTGTCCTGGGATGTCCTGGCGCATCTTTCAAGAAGCTATTGGCCAAAATAGTTGTGGTCTAGATAGTGGTGGTGTTTAGAAACTGCTTTGGAAACTGCTTGTAAGCAATGCGATGCCTAAACAGGAGCTTGGTGTCCAGAATTAGCTACTTCTCAACTCTTTTCTGAGAAAAAAGTTGTCTGTCTTGTTTTGTGAGAATGCAATGAGAGATCAAGTCCTTCAAGTAGAACTGTTGCAAGAGTCTTCAAGAATACTATGCTGGTCTAAAGCCTTGTTCAAACCTCAAAACGATTCGTTCAGACAACGCTTCCTTCCGTACCGTCGACGCATGGCAGGTCTGACTTCGTACGGACCAAACCGAGTCGTCTCCAGGTCTGAAGACTTCGAGAGAAAACCGAGTGGACAGGCGCGAGACCGTGGACCCGGAGTGAGACGAACGCAAGTGACCCCAAGTTTGGTGCTTTTGATGGAGCCTATCTTTTACAGTCATTTTGTTTTGTGGTTTATCTACTCTGATGGCCCACTGCCTATCTTCTCAGCCTATCTTTTACGGTCGTCTACTCTTGCAGTTTTGGTTTATCTACTCTGAAATCCTTGGAGACCGTCGGCGGAAGTGGGTCGTTTATCTACTCGCCCTCGTCTCCGGTCCCTTTCTCGCGACACGGGACTCGGAGCCCGGACTCAAATGGACCATGGTTTGAGAAGACGTGTGTGTGTGTGTGTCTCAAGCATGTATATACCACAAAAAATGTTTGGGATCAAAAATCCGGCAAATCGCTTGTGATGCCATGTTTCGCATCATTGGATGCAAATTCACACCATCGGGGCTATTGTTGGGTTGATTGAATACCGACCAATTTCAATATATATATATATATATATCATGTCAAAAATGTCTCTGTTCCGGTGTGTCAGGAGCGTTCCTTCAAGGCATCTTTGTTGCCTTTAAAACGATCATCGGACCAACAAAATCTGCTGATCTCGGTTCCACGTCGGTGACGCCTTCTGTAAAAGAAAAAATAATCCCAAGGCAAGAGACCCCAAACAGTGTGTGTGAGGTCTGTAAGCAGAAAGTCTAGAGATCTAGACGCATTGGGGTCCAGAGAGGTGATGGCGGTGATGAAGTGAATGTGGGTGTGAGTGCGTGTGTGCGAATGAGAGTGGGGGAGTGAGGTGAGTGAGTGCGAGTGTGAGTGAGAGTGAGTGTGGGTGAGAATGAGTGTGAGGGAGAGTGAGAGTGACTGTGAGACTGAAGGTGGGTGAGTGAGTGCGAGAGTGAGTGAGAGTGAGAGTGAGAGTGAGAGTGAGAGTGAGAGTGAGAGTGAGAGTGAGAGTGAGAGTGAGAGTGAGAGAGTGAGAGTGAGAGTGAGAGAGTGAGAGTGAAAGAGTGAGAGTGAGAGTGAGAGTGAGAGTGAGTGAATGAGAGTGAGAGTGTGAGTGTGACTGAGAGTGAAGGTGGGCGCGAGTGAGTGTGGGTGAGAGTGAGTGAGCGAGTGTGAGTGAGAGTGAGTGTGAGAGTGAGTGAGTGTGCGTGTGAGTGCGAGCGCGAGTGTGAGTGAGAGCGAATGAGAGTCTGCAAGTGGGAGAGTGAGGTGGGTGTGAGTGTGAGGAGTGTGGCTGTGACTGGGAGTCGGAGAGTGAGTGTGAGTGCGAGTGTGAGTGAGAGGTGAGTGTGAGTGAAAGTGGGAGAGTGAGCGAGTGAGCATCTGAGAGCACAAAGTACTGCGCCTGCCACGAAATCTGCACCAAGCGCTGTGCCTGCCACGACATCTGCACTTCGAGGTTCACCATGCGCTGTGCCTGCCACGAAATCTGCACTTCGAGGTTCACAAAGTGCTGTGCCTGCCACGAAATCTGCACCTCGAGGTTCGCCAAGTGCTGCACCAGCCACGAAATCTGCACTTTGAGGTTCACAAAGTGCTGTACCTGCCACGAAATCTGCACTTCGAGGTTCACACAGTGCTGTACCTGTCACGAAATCTGCACTTCGAGGTCCACCAAGTGCTGCACCTGCCATGAAATCTGCACTTTCAGGTTCACCAAGTGCTGCGCCTGCCACGAAATCTGCACATCGAGGGTCACAGAGTGCTGTGCCACGAAATCTGCAAACGAGCCACATGTCCAAAAGTCACGATTCACTGCACCTGTCACGAAATCTGAGCTCCTGGACGATCACCACCATGTCCAAAATGCTGCGCCTGCCACGAAAACTGCATTTCGAAGCAAAACAGCTCCGATCCCTTGCACCTGCCACGAAAAGTCGACTTTGGACCCACCAAAACACGAGGTTTCCCTTGCGCCTGCCACGAAAAGTGACCACCATGTGCAAAAATGCGCACGGCACCACAACGAGAGCGCAGTCGCTAGAAGCACCCGCGGCAGACCCCAGATTCTGCGAGCCTGCGCAGTCGAAGTGCACATGGACGATGTCGAGAGGCATGAATGTACTGTAAATAGCAACGAATTAGACGTTCACGGCCGCGCGCCTCAGCGATCTAAGCACACCTTCTTTTCCCTTACCGTAAGAACCCCTCAGTGTGCCCACACTGTTTGGGGAACTAAAGACACATTCCCAGAATGAAAAAAGAACATGCATACGGCATAAAGGTTCGGTGGTTCTTGTAGTTGAGTCGACTTCGCTGTGGGTCCTGGCACCGGCAAGGTCAACCCGATGGACCCCCCCGGGCCAAATGAACCAATGCCTTTTTCCTGTCCACCGAGTCCACCAGGTCCACCGAAACCGTCCTGTGGTGCCATATGACTGACTGAAACCGGCTCCTTAACATCGTACCAGGCATGTGTGCGTGTGCGTGCGCATGTGCGTCGTACTCACGGTACCAACGGTTTGCATTGACAAAGCGAACCGCCATGACTAGAACCAAGCAGAAAATGCTTCTCGGACTCATCGTAGTGGCCGTAGTAGGGTATGCCCTGATTCAAACTCACTTGCGCCACGCCAAAGGTGAGAACTGCTGGCACTGGAGAAAGACCGCAAGCTGCTGTGGCCAGCAGGTCACGGCAACGGCTCGATTGACGGTCGCTCAATCGCCGACACGCGATCATTGCACAGCGAATGAAGACTGGGGCAATGCAAAGCCAGCCCACCACCTTGGCTTTTTGTCCCGCGATGGAGGACCCTTCACTTGACTCAAGCAAAAATGGGCCCTACTTTCCGTTTCCTCTCTTCCCATAGGATACCAGGTATGGTATACACTGTAAGGGACAGCGGCACAGAAGAAATCTCTTCCTTGGGTGCTTCTGGGAATTCCCGCTTTCATTCTCCTAGTCCTCCGTGAATTTTCAGGGTGGATCCTTTTGCAGCGCTTTTAGAGTAGATGACACAACCCCCAAGTTCGATGTTTTATATGGACATCATGGCGTCAATAAAGGACATCTTGGGGTACCAATGCCATCTGCTCTGAAACCACTATAGTTTGGGTCCATGGATGATGATGGTTCAGTTGCAGGCCTTGTGCCAAAATGGTGATTTGCTTGTGAAACCGGGTCCTGTTACAGGTCAGAACGGGCAAACCCAAACCAAGATCTGAAGAACTCGCACCGACTCCTGTGACACCGGGTCTCGGCGCTCTCGAGCGACAGACCCCGGCGGTCCGACCGGCCCTGGAAGGTTCGAAAAAGGACCGGTCTCATTGGTTGGGTGTCTCCCTACCCTAAGAATCCGGGCCCGTTCCGCAACAGATAGGGTTTCGTGAAGGGGCCCGGACCCCTGTTTCGGTGTCGGGTCCGACCCCTGCCATGGAGAGCCCAAGGATTCTTAGGGTAGTCAAAATACACCCATATGTCTGTTTGCCCAAAACAAACACATGAAGCCCTTTTCAAGGGAGGAGACGACCCCCGCCTATCCCCCCATTGAAACCGGGGAGACATGGATAAATCGCTCTAAAATGCTCCTAGCTGCTGTGAGACACGAGAGCTCAAGCACCGTCTTGTAGTCTTCAGCCAACACGTTGGCAACAATCCGATCCATGTTGTTCCAGCAAAATGGACAGCCCAGAACCAGCATCCTTGGCCCCCCCAACGAAGCATTTGATGATCAAACAAACCCCACATCCAGAAAATTCCTCATCCAGGTTAAACCAAGCTGTAACCAGTCCGACTTCCTGCACGGCTGTTCCGTCCTTCCGTCACGCGGCCGTGCGGAGGCCGTTTCCAGGCGTCATGAACGTCATGGAACGTCAACCCTACAAGGTTCAGCCAACTCCAAAGAATTCACTCCCTGAAATCATCATGGAAGTGGAACACCATCACCTGTTTGGTCGTCATCCCAAATCGGGGGCATGCCATACCATGGATGATGTTGGGGTGTTTCGCAAGCAACCCGCCCCCCCTTTTTCTCCTAAATCCAAGCATCCAGCTGTATGGAAAAGTGTTGATGCCCAACTGCTCCATCAAAGCTGTAGAGACCTTTGAGGACCTAGGGTGTCTTCTGTCCAAATCAGGATCACCTGGTCTCCAACCCCTGGAAGTGGACAACCCCCTGTTAGTAGAGGAAGACAGTCATCCAAGGGTCCATGTCCCACTTCAATGCTTGTTGGATGGAAGTTACCTGGCCTTTGTTATGTTGAGCAGAAAACGAGCGAAGCTTACGCCACATGTCCAAAGGTGAAACGTCACATCGCATGTTCCTGTTGCAAGGCCTCTCTGCCAAGAACAGCGTGAACTTACCAGACACAATCGGGAAAATTTGTTCTGTTTCAATTATGGCACACCTCTGAAAGGCAAGAAGATGATGAACTCTCATCTAGAAGCAAGCCTCTTCAATCGATGACAAGCGTGAGTATCTAGGGGCTAGGAATCTGCGGTATCTAGCCCACACTTTCTGCACTCAAGGCCTGGTTCTTTCATCCTGCAATCGACCCAATGGAAAATGTGTAATCTTACCCTAGTCAAAGCACATGTCATTGATGTCGCAAGCTGCAGTGCCAAGTACCTCCCTCCTCAAAAACCCAGCACTGCACCCTGCAATCATCAACCCCATCGGGAGATGTCCAGAAACAAACAGTGCAGGGAGCATATTGAGGAGTTCGTGTAAAAAAAGAACAGAAACCCAGCCCGATCTTCTAAGGTCTGCACACCATCTGCTCGAAGGTCTCCACTGAACCAAACCACATCGTGATGCCCCGAAGGAGAATCTCCCGGTCGCAGATCTCCATGGCACCTCCAGGAATCGAATATGGGGAGACGACTACTCGGCGCCGAAGACACACAGCCTTAGAAAACTTCTCACTACACACGAGTGAGCAAACAGCAAAAAATATAGAAATCTGTATATATATATATATATTATGTATGTATATATATATTATGTATATTCTTTAGTAAAGAACAAAGAAAAAAAACCATCAACGCAGCTCCATCATCATGGATCGCTTTGCGTCCACGCACGGTCCAAACTACTGGATCCTCCTTTTCGGCGATTCCGAATCGGCCGGAGGACGCCCGGAGCACCGAGCGACAGCGACCCACCGGAAATGAATAGACGACCTACAGGAGGTCAACCTACCTACCAGGTGTTTGGCTCTGGGTGCCACAACTCGGGGGCGATGCGCCGAGCGGCTTTTAGTCGTTGGATGCACGTGGTTCACATCGCAGCAGTAGCATCGGCACTGAGAGACCTTGCAGTCTTTGAGGATGGCCTCAACCTCCTGGAGGTCGAGGCATGAGCACAAGTGCCAGACCGTCAAGTGCTAGACCATCAAGTGAGCTGAAACTTCCGTTAACGGCAAGTGTGCTTCACACACACACACACACTGTGAAGCAGTCCACCATCAACTTGTATACCCCAACCCAACAAAAGCACAGGTCATGTAGAAATCGAAATGACATGATCCTACGTCCTCGTCCGATGGCCACTCATCCTTGTCTGGAAGAAGAAAAGAGTTTACGCTCTCGTCCACTTTCCAAAACCCACGGGTTGATCCGTGTATCTGTGGTTTCAGTGTGTGACCCGCACCTGTCACGGTATATTGAAGGCACACGATTAACTAATAATGATGTTGCGTTGTTAATCTAGGCATCCGTGCGATTCGCACGGATGAGGGAATAGTTCCAAATAAATCTATAGTGGAGGTTCATTCCCTAATAAGCACGAGTCAGTAATGAATATAATGGGGGGTGTGAGTTGTACATGTTGTAGTTTTACAAATGAATGTGCAGGGAAGAGCTTGTCTCTGTGTCCACGCGGCCTTTTATGCGTTTTCGCGGTCCACTGAAGTCAGGGCAACCTCCACGCACCATTCACCTCATGCCTCCAACAACCATTGCTTTACTAAGAATGTACGCTACAAGGTCTCGGTGCTCTCGGAAGGCGTTACGGGTTGTTAGGTCACCGTCTCTTCGAGTGGAAAATCGTCTTGGAAGGCTGAGCTGATGTCCCACTTATGGTCCAAACCCCGCTGCCGTGAAAGGAGTGTGGAAAAATCAGAGCTTCGTGCCATCCACAGCGTGCTTTTGATAAGTTGCTACCAACACAGTTCCCAAGATTTTCCCATCTCCATTGCCGAAAGCCTTCAGACAGCTGCCTTGAAGCTTTATAGCTTCCTTGGATAAACACACCCAGTCCTTCAGTTCGCGGTAGAAAATGCGTAATGCCCAAGAGACCCAAAAGGTCACAAGGATCACCGCTACGACGATGAGGCCCCAGGCCACCATCTTGTTGTCCGCAGGGATAGCTGTCACCAGCACTGAGAACAGCACAATGGTCCAGAAAGAGATGCCTCGGGACGATCGAGCTGTCGAAGCTGAGAAGCTGGATGCTTTTTTGAGGCCACGACTGGATGGAGCACCATTGGGTGCTCAAAACACATAAGTCACATAAAGCAGAGGGAACATCTCGCAATCAACAGCTGGTGAGTGTCTCATCCCGCCCAGGGTCCGTGGACGACCAGGGTCCGTGGAGGGCCCCCGGAGAGCCCCCGGTGGGCACCAATTTAAAATAGACCAAGTATCTGGAAGGAAAAGGACTATGACTAATGGTATATATATATATATAAAGACTCAACGCACAGTCTTTTCATCCGCGCATGCAAGAGTGTCAAGAAAAAATAGAAAAATGTCTTGGAGAAAGTTTCCTCTCACACGAGGTGTACTCCCATAGAGGCTCGACACTAGAGTTTCCTGCCAGAACCACGGAAACTCTAGTGCCCCTCACACCCCCCAAGTACTCTGCCAGAACCAGAAGTACTTGGGCACAGGTGTTTTTACTTACTTTCTCTCTCATGACACAAAGCGAAGCTTCGCACTTCCCCACACCGCATTAAAACATTTGGTGGCACCCTCCATTTCTCCATTTTTCGCCTCTTTCTTTCGCCTCTTTCCACGTCCCCTTTACCTGCTTTAGTATGCTCGAGCTTACTTGGCAAAGTTGAAAGGTCATGCTGGTGAAACACGCGCACAAATGGAAGAAGAGATTTGTGAGGTAACTTCAACTGGGCTAGCATAGCCAGTCCGTCATTGATGTATATGCGGGCTGTACGGGCCCCCGCCCAACGACCTAATACTAATATTCTATCTAGAGAACCATACCGACCGAACCAGCACGTAGCGCCTCCGCGCCGTAAGCTGTAGGGCCTAAACTCAAAACCCTCTAAGTTCAGGGATTTGATACAGTCGCTGAACATCCTACGCCAGATGTGGGGTTTTGGTGCCAATGGACAGTGTGGAGAAGCCGTGATTTTCCAGGCCCAAAGCCATTGAAGTGCACACTGGTTTTCCAGGCCCAAAGCCATTGAAGTGCACACTGGACTGAAATAGTCACGCTTTCGGACGATCCGGCCCGTTTACCTCCCTTTGTTAGGCCTAAAGATATCACTGCCGGCCGGCCGGGAGCTGTCATCAGGATGTGGTTGTTGCAGAGCCCCAACAACTCCCCTGTCCGGAGCAGACCATAGAAACCCAACACCAAGGTTAGTCCAAAAGCGTACTCCTTATGGAACAGGCACCAGCCAAGCGTCGCAAAAAGGCAATCTTCTGGGAGTGGCGGGGCGCGACATGGTATCTCATTTACGTGCCATGTCTTAAAAGGTGCCATGTCACCTGCAATTTGCCCTTCACGTGCGGAGCGGCGTCCTGTATACCAGCGACGGTGTCACTGGCCAAGGCTTCGGCCCTCGCCTGTGCTCCACAAAAATTCAATGTAGTCCGCTAACAGTTCATCAAAGGCAAGTGCTTGTGTGGGAGTGCTGAGGTCGTTCGTCCGGAGGTAGGCGTAAAATTTCTCTCTGGCGTCTGTGTACCGTTTGCGTGTCTTGGGCTGTACCGTGAGGTCTCTCAACGTTCCGAGATTCTGTCTTGCGCGGGCACGCTCCTGCTTACTACGACCTTCAAGATGAGATTTGACTTCCCCCAATTGCGCCTGAGCGGCCGCCGACTGGGTCGGTCAGCCGGGTTTTGGCTCGTGTTGATGTATCCCCAAATGGGGTGAAGATCCGCAGCACGCATGAGCGAGTTCATCCGGGACAGGGTGCTTCCGGGAGGAACTCCGTCCCCTAGACAAGGCATGCAAACACACCAAACTGTCCGTCAAACGCACAAAACGTCTACCTCGAATGCCCTTTCTGACAACCAACCACCGCAATGTTGTGAGAATTGCACGCAATTCCAGGAGATTGATATGCTCCCCCGTGCGCTTCCAACGCCAACCAGCAACCTCACGCCACCTCCATAGCTTTCCTGGTACACTAGACCTCAGCCTGTGGAACTTCACCTGCGGCTCAGTGGATGACTGGACCATAAGGTCTTCACCTTTCATCGAAACCAGCCCAACCAACTTACGCAAGAGCGGCCCCTCACTCGTTTGCGCAAGCCGTCCCTGGTGGTTCAACGGTGGGCGAAGCAGTAGGACCCGGGAGGCCCGAACTCCCTCCTGGGCTGAGGTTCTCAATGATCTCTTGAACAGTTTTCCTCCTGCAAACAAGGGGCCCAACAACTGCTCCAGCAACCAGACAATCACTCCCACGTTCCAGGAGTTCCCAATCAAAGTCATTCGAACGTCATCCCAATGAGCTCCCTTCTGCAAAGCCTTCGGGAGACACGGTTTGGTGTATCCCACTGGTATGCCCATGATGGCCTCTCGCTCTGATGCCGATGGACGACGACTGAGTCCCTTCTTGTTCCACAGCACATTGTGATCCCGATACTGGTAAGGCGGGAACCGGAAATCATCGGCCTCCCATCGAGCCCTTTCATGTGCTGCACAACGGTCCAGTCCGGCAGGTCGATACCCAGGCTTGTCGCGCGGCCTTGAGGTGGTAAACGTGGGCAGTCGGTGGCCTTCCGTCAACATCCAACCCGCCTCCAGAAACTTGTCCTCCGCGACGACTCCTGTTAGTTCTACACTGCCATGGTTCCCCCAAAGCGTCGATCCGGGAGGCGTCACTGCTGCTCCCTCGCCCGACTTCAATTCCCAGTCAACCCAATAGAGCCGAGGACGATGGCAAAGCGAGATTCCGGCGCTGTCAATGCGATGCGCTTGCAACCCAAAGGTTTTACTCATGATTCATTGGTGCCACTGATTCCATCAAGGTTCTAACTTGGGCCCATGGGAGCGCGGTCTTGAACAATGCTTGGATGCGAGGCACCTCCAGAAACAGACAACTCCGTTCATCGCGCAACGCGCCCTTCTTGGAAGCGTTCAAACCGCTGACTCCTTGACAAGGCGGCCCAGCGCCAAGCAGTACCAGTCCAACAGAGGGGAAGCGCAAGGAGAGATTGCGCACGAAATCAGCATCCAGAGTTGTGCCATCGGTGTGGAAAATGGTGTTTGGGAAGTACGCTTCCACCACACGCCTCGCTGTCTCCTCGCGCTCCACACTTACATGCCCAGCAACCGCGACGCCTAGACAATCAACAGCTAACCTGAGGGCGCTGAGCCCATCGAAAAGTCCGACTGTCAGCACTTGGATGACCTCAATTTCCTCCGGGATGTCGCCTTGAACGTCAATGAAGGCTAGTCCATAGCCCGTGAGTCCTTCGCTCACACAGATACCTCCACCACTAGTCGAGGCGTCACTGCAAGTCACGTGCTCGCTGAACTGCTTGCGAAAGTCCATCTGCGCTAGCGGGCATAGCAAGACAAACCGCAACAATTCCTGCGCAACTCCCTTGGGTACCTTCAACCTTACAACGGCTGGCTGAGATTTGAGCTTCTCCATGAACCTCCATGCCTCGTTCAACACACCAAGCAGGGGTCGACGGAACATAGCAAAGTAGACGAGGCCGCCACACACTACCTGCAACGCCTTCAATGTACACTGGCCTTGTTGAACTAGACATACGGCAAGCCGGCAATAGAGGATGACCTTCTCCGGTTTTGGTTGGGCGAAGCCATGTTCGCCATCCACAATGGCACCTTGAACCTCAGCCCTCAACGCACGCTCAACAGCCTTCTTTGGATGCCGTGGCAACCCCTGTGACAAGTATTCCGCGCGCAGCTGCTCAACTACCTCCGCCGTACTTCCAACCAACTGCCGGGCCATGTGTGGGTTACACTCTTCAACCAAGTCAAAGTTGTCGAGGTAGACCCGGTACTGTGCTTGAGCGCTGGAACCCGTGCGGTCCCTTCGCATTTCTGCCTCACCTCCAATGTTGCTGGGCCCGTGTTGACTCCACTTTACCACGTTGCGGTGTGTGTGTGCTGTGCGATTGAGACGATTCAAGAACCCCATAGGCAGCACACATGAGACGAGCACGCAGGGCTTACCAGCCCATATCTGCTGGGGACGAGGTTAGGCGGAACCAACCTATTGAAGCCCAGAAACCGTTTCCACTCCTCGGGAATACGGAATAAGTAAAAGAAACACTCAATATCTTCTGAACTAAGGCCAGTTCACCCTCGCCCATCACGTAGGCCCCAAAGCTTGAGATGTTCGGGAGAGTTGCGAGACCCCCTACCAGGGGTTCACATAGGTTGTTCAGTGTTATTAGATTCATAATGAGTCTCTGTGTCTCGACTCCGTCAATGAACTCCCCCTTCCCAACACCGAACATCCCATTCAGCAAAGGCTCCTGGTCCACATGGTAGAGCTCCTCGATGGGTTTCACTGCGCAGATGTTCTTTGCAATCAACCCCTGACAGATCGCAGGCCAATCATCCCCTTCCATGACTTTGGGAGCTCGGGCGCGATGTCGTGAAACTGGGTCAATCAAAAACTCTTCAAAGTGATCGATGTAGTGACGGGTCCCATGGGTGCAGAAATCCCGGACGCCCAGTTGCCCTACTTCATCCGGTAACGAGCAACTGACTGCAGTCCAATTCAACGTCTGTGCCATGCGAACCTTTTCCCCATCATAGGTGACTCCCCTTTTTGCGAAGAAGTCCCGAAAGTTAAACGGCTCGAACTCTCGATCCCACACATCAAACCGTTCACAAAGAAACCCCAAATCTTCTCCTAAGCGCCCAGGCGTCCGTCGGGGGGCAGGCCCAGCCCCCACACCAGAACCCAAGTGATTCAACCCGAAAATCATGTGCGCCACTGCTCCCTCAAATTTAGGCCATGGATCCAAGGGTAAAGGGGTAGGGAAAACCTCATCACAACCGACTTCTGAAGCTCCCTCTACCGTGTTTTGCAAGGTCTGCAAGTAGCTGCTTGGCCATGGTCATAAGATCCAGGAAGCTCTTTGGTGAAACAATGAGCGAAGCTGTACTGGTTGCTTTCTCATAACGACTTGCAACGGGGGGTACAGGGTCGGCCCCGTGCGCTTTATCTGGACAGCTCGCCTGGTAGCCAATGTCGTCTGCTATGTAGCCCGGCTCTTCACTTCCATGAAACCTTGCCCGGCCCAAGCCTGGGCTCAGCTTCGACTGCACTCCCTCAGCGCGGGAGATATTCAATGAATTCTGTAGCTCTGCCTCGTAGTGACATGTCGTGTGGTTCCCCGCGCCTGCCAACACCGGGCGCCGCTTGTGGGGTGGTCGGCCACCCACATCACTCAGCCCAGCCTGCTGTAACCCGTCAAAGCCCTCTGCTGCAACCGGGAGGATCTCGTCTCCCTTCCAAGCCTCGCCTCCTACCCTCTCAGGAGGCTGGATCACTCGATTCGTCCTTCTCGCCCTTCTTCTTTCCTTCTCCTTTTCTGCCCCCTTTGTGTTTGCCGTCTCCTTTGCCCTTCTCGCGTTTGCCCTTCTCTTTTCCTTTTCCTTTTGCGAAGTCTCTGTCGCCCCACCAAGTCCTGTTGGCGTTCCTCTTCATGACGCGCTCCTCCACTTGCAAGTCTTTGCCTGCCGCACTCGCTTCTTGGACGGGCACGAGGCTCGGCTTTTCTGGGCCGATGAGTTCGAGTCGGCAGGCGACCTCTGTCTGAGTGCCGCGCGCCATGCTCTCCAAGGCCTCCAGCCTCTGTCCTGCGAAGTCCAGGGCCGCGGCCACGCGGCCCCGGAGAGCCAGGTCGATGATTGCCGCGAGGTGGTGTGACTCCCGCGCCAAAGGAGTGCTCATCGTTGGCTGCAAGTGAACCCTGAAGTAGTGCGACACAATGGGCGGCACCCTCCTCTGTGGCCTGTGCCAAATGCCCCTCCGCCGTAAGCAACTGCTCTTTCATGTCGCTCACCGCCGCCGACATCAAAGCTCCGGGCTCTCGCCTCCAGATTTGGAGGGAACGACGCTCGGATTCGAACTAATTCCGAGCTTGCAATCACCCTCTCTCCCAGGCTGGATGACGTGCTTGAATCCTCTGAATTGCCCTCTGCACTGCTTCTGCTCCTCGCGGGATCGCCTCTTTTTCTTCTTTCCTCGACGAATTTTTCGAGCCTTCTTCATAATGCACGCCTGGTCTCCACATCTGGGTCGAGCCCGGTGTTCTTGAAGATGTCCCGGAGAGGCACTTCTTCCTTCTCCTCCTTCTTCTCTTCTTCGACAGCTCCCTTTGCTACGGGAGCGTCCATCACCTCGGGAGTGTATTCTACCTCCCCTGCTCCTCTCTGAGCCTCCCATCGCAGTCGCGCCAAGGGGTCCTCCTGGTCGGTGCTCGCTCCTCGGGGCCCAAATTCCTCCGCCAATCCTGAATCGCCAACCCTTGATCGTGGAAGCGCTCCCCGTGGATAAGGTCGACCGCCCAAACCAGCCTCTCGCATGGCCTCTGGCAAATGTGGACCCTGATCTCGCCTATCCCCTTCAAGGAAGGACTCTGCGTGCCTGTAGCCCAGACACGCCAGGTAGCATCGCCCGTCTCCTCGGTGAAGATGATTCCCCTGATCTCCCCAGCTATCACCACAGGAGATTCCCAGTATATATCTCCCTTCGATCACCACCTGTCGCTTCTTGTAGAGGTCGTCGAGGGGCAGGCGATGCAGGTCTCTCCAAACCTTCTCTTCCTCTGCGTCGCGTCTCCCTCTCTCGGGAGACTCCTCGTCTACTCTGGCCGCAGGCCTCCTCAATGCACTGGTTCGAACTCATTCTCGCGCTCCTCGATCTCCAGCTGCTGCTGCAGGTCTCCTTCGTGGAGGCATGATCACTAGTAATACTGCTCCTCAAACTCCCTCCACGCTCTTACCTTTGGATCCACCCGAACCGTGTCCCGCAGATTTGGCGTATGCCTCTCTCCTCCGCCTCCTTCGACGGCGGCTGCGCGAGCGGGCGGCTTTGTCCTCTTCAGCCTTGCTCTCTCCCTCAGGATCTTTCTCAGGAGATTCCTCTGCAGCGGGAGATTCGTTCCCGTCTCCCTCTCCTGGATGGGCTGTACTGACTTCTGGGGCTGTAGAAGGTCTGACTGCTTCCTCTTCCTGTTCTGCTTTGGGCTCCTCTTCAATTCCTACCTCTTCAGACTTTTCCTCCCCTTTCACGGGGATTGCAGGCTTGCTTGGCTGACTTGGGGCTGGTGCGGGGCTGCCTTTGGATGTTTCCTTGCTGGCGTTCTTCTCCTTCTTCTCTTTTTTCTTGGATACTCCCTCTCCCGGGAGCTCCCTTTCACCACCACCAGGAGTCACAGAGGTGGCAGCCCCTGTTCCTCCCTCCGCCAGGTCCAGCAGCTCCGCGTGGACGGTTCGGAGTCTCGTCACCCCAAGGCCTTGGACAGCGCCTGAAGCCTCAGGATGGTAGAGAACTCCGAGCAACCGGCGCACAGCCAAGCAAAGAGCACACGAGCAGCTTTCCCACTCGTGCGCTCCAGCCATAAGCTGAAGCCGAGAAGCTGCGGATTCAATGTTTCGCGTTTCGTCTTTAAACATGGTACGTGAGTCATATAAATATCAAACAAAAGAAGGCCTTCTTTGAAAGTCACGTTCCTCCAGCTGGAGTTAGGAGCGACAACTCAATACCTCACTCAACTCACCCATGTTGGAGAATGTCTCCCAACCAACCAACTGGCCCGTGAAGTCCCCAAGCTCAGTATGATTCTTCCGATGGAAGCCGAAAGGAAATCTCTTGAAAGCGAGACGCACAAGCCAGGAGCAAGAGCCGTCGGCCTCACAATGAGGGCACGTTCCTCACCTTCGTGGGCTTTGAGAAAAGCTGCCAACCTCAGATCTGAAAAAAAGACACAGAAAGACAATATTGAATATGTCATTAAATTCTAGATTGTAGTCAACACCACTTCTGTGTCCAAATGCAGGAAGTTCTCTGTCCAAATGCCAGAGCCAGTGGTTTCTGAAAATCCAGCGCCAAACCGGAAAAAACAGTCCCTCAAACGAAAAAAACTCTGTTTTGTGGGTGCTTAGCACTCAGTCCGACTGTCGGTTGTTTCATCCGTTCACCGACCCTTTGAGCAAGCAGGACGACCCGTTAGAACAGCCGCATCAAGCCGCTCATAGATACACCAAAGGCGTTGAGCATAGCTGGAATCAAAGAGTACCAGCATGGACTTGGAATTCTTCAAGATGCCGCCCACATTCCTTTGATCGGAGACGGTGTTCTCTTGGAACCATGAGAAATACATAGTAATACCACAGCGTACTCTTCCAAAGATCGAAATGAATCACAAAAATCATACATGTCTTCTGAATACCTTCCGCTTCAAGGTTCAAGATACCTTCCGTCTTCAATCTGGTCTCATGCTGATGGATGCAAATGCGATCCACAAACACTTCCTTTTGAGGTCGCCAAAGGAAGAAGACCAAGAGAAAGGTCACCAAGCCACTTCCGGCGCACCATGGGATGAAGGGCCCGTCATGGCGGTTCCCACCTTGCCGCAAATACTCCAAGTCGTAACTGGGCAGCACCTGGCGCCACGAAAGCGGCCCGCACCGCCCGCGCCGCACCGGCCGCCAGGAAGATGGTCCGGGCTCGTCACGACCCGTTCGCTTCGCGTCCGGCTCGCGCGAACGGTTCGGTTCGGTGAAGACGATGCCAGCCCCGATCGGCGTCAGCGAAGCTTGTTACTATATAGTAGTAAGGCCAGGAGCCCCTAGTTAGGTATACGGTTTGTCACGTCCCATCTGAGGACTAGGAAGCGTCCCTGTATACCAACTTCTCAAAACTCCAACGTCTGGTAGGGCATTTTCAGCTGATCTTCGTTGGGGAACCACCCAACATGGTCACTTTGGGGCACCTGAAAACTGGCGAGGAAAAGGAAGATCAAGGCAACGATCAAACTGCTGATCATGGCCACATGCCCTGAATACATGTAGATCAGCAGCATGATTTTTCTCCAGGTCTTGCCATGCCAACTGTGACTCCAAAACTGCGCCACTTCTTGCGTTGGCCGACTGAGCCTGTCGGTTTGGAGCCAAGGAAGGCCCGCGAGGGGGTGACGAGACTCGCATCAAGACCCTGGAACCATCAAGCCATCTACCTGGACTCGACCTGGAACTCGTACCTTGGAAAATGAGTACAAGATAGTACAAGTACAGGTACCAGTTGTACCTGTTTTGAGTTCGGTTCTCCGTACCCTCCATCAGTTGTACCTGGTCCCATCGTTTTTCAGATGAGAAATGCCACCAGGTGTGGTCTTTTTCTGTTCGTCCGACGCGACAAGAACCTGATCTTTCTTGGCTTCAGGAATGAGACCAGGTTTGTCCACCTGTTTTGGGGGTCCGGTGACTTCTCGAAGAACACCGGGCCTCCACTCCGAGCTCAGCACCAGAAAATGGTTTTTAGGGGTGGGGTCGTTGGAGGGGACGGACGATCGGAATTTGGGGGGTGGTTTTGAACCTACCCTACAGGTCAAAGACCTCATGAAAAACTGGACGTGGTCATACAAAAACACTACTTAAGGAGGTAAAAGACCAGGTTTTACGGGGTCTTTGGACTTGTAGGGCTATAAGCCAACCAGATCTCGAACGATGTGGTACTGGACTCCTGGACGCACGATGATTTGTTCGATCAGGAAAAAAGAAATAGAAGAAAACAATGCAAAACGCAAAGTGTACGGACCAAAGGACCCATGCAAGTCTTGACTGGCATCTCCACGTAGGGCGCGTCCGAAGAACTGTAAGGGTTGAGCAGCAGCGACTGAACGGAGCATCCTCAGGTGGTCTGGAGGCGACACCAAGGTGGTCGATCCGCAGGGTGAATACACCAACCTGCTCGGATCGCTTTCGCCCCATGAATGCGTAGCTCGGTTCGCTTTCGGTGGGCAACCCTAGACCGAGCCAGGGGTGGCTTCAGGACCCGACACCAGGTCTTTCCTGGTGACCAGATCGGTGTGTGCCGAACCGGTTCACCACCACCTGTGGTCTAGTGTGTCGACAGGCCACAACCGAACCGAACGGAGGGTCCTATCGGGCAGGTGGTGGTGTTCTTGTTCGAGTCGACCCACGCGTCCAGCTCAGCGTCTCGGCCCGGGAGACCAGCTTCCAGCAAGGCATGGTTGGATAGGCCACCAAAGGTCATGGTTTTTGGGCTGGTCGGTTTTTGGTATGCGTTGGTTGGACTCCAGAAAAAGAACCATAATGAACCATGTCCTTTTTCCCCTGCAAAACGTTAGTACATGGGTCATTGATCATCTTGGCAGGGTTTGGATAGCTTGCCTTTTTCAAGATCCAGCTGGACCATCTGTCCTTTCATAAACAGATCCGGTTCCAGGTGGCCTTCGGAACGCCACTTCGGCCGAGCCCAGGACTGTGTGAACGAAACCCGACCAGAGCAGAACCCTTCGGGTTCCCTCCTTCGCTGCCCGGGTTGCCGAGCATCTCGGGTCGAGTTAAGCTCAAGCTGGAGATCTTATTGATCAAGAGCCTCTCTAGGCGGGCCATCCGCTCTTCATGCTCCACTTGCTGCGGTGCCGCGGATCCCGCGGACTCCATGCAAAACACGGAGGAGCTTTCGCTGGGCGCGGGAGAAACCAACAGCAAGGACTAAAAACCTGGAGCCAATATGCTTCGAGTCCATGCACGAGTTCACCTGGCCTCATCCTGGGGACCTGGTCTCAAACTCCCAACGCCCATAACGGTAGCCAGTCATGCAAGACCAATTCAAAAAGCTTGGAGCAAGAAGTGACTCAAGATCAAATCCTCCCCTGCAGAGCTATGCATCCCCCACCTCCAAGATCCATGATCGGTCTGAGGTCTGAGTGGATCTTGGAGGTGTGGACAAATCAAAAAAAACAACAAATCGAATCCAACCTCTCAACAAAACACGACCATACAATATGAACCTGAGGAGTTCTCCAAATCTCTCCGATTCCATTGGAGGACCCGACGTACCCGTAGACACGGCGTCGCCCGGCCGCCCCGCCTCGCTGCTTGGCTCTCTGTGCTTGCGTCGCCCAGTCATGGGGGGCGGCCGCGACGTTTCCGAAGTGGCTCTATTCGGAGAAACGGACCGAACACCTCTGCGAACTCGGGGTCACTCGAGGGATGCCCAACGAACCAGGTCCACGGACCCTCCCCTTGATCTGAACCTGTGTGCCATCTGAACCGAGAGTCCTACATGACCCCAAAACGGCACCACTGTGGCCGGCCACGGTGGAAACGTCTGGGCCCGAAGGGCCCGTGGCGCGGAGGGACCGAAGGGCCACGAAAAGGGGCCGGAGCTGCTTCGGCAGGGTCGATCCCAAAAACCGAGCGAAGCAGGTCCAGTTCCGGAGGAGGTTCTGGAGTAAGTTCTGTAGCAATTTTGTAGATATGCTGACATGCTATGCTGTCGTCATGATGTACTGCTGAGGCCATCGCGCTGCGCCGACATGCTGACATGCAGTCGTGAGTGGGTCCCAAAGCAGAGAACTGCTGGGCAGTCATGCTTGGCAGTCATGCTTGCACATACATGGCAAATGCGTTATACCGACATATTTGCTGTGGCGTGATGCGAAGACAAAGGTGTTTCCAACGCAGCATTGTGATGTTGCCATTGCTTCACAGGGCAGATTCATGGTACACCATTGCCTTCACCTCCCCACTCGCCGTCTGACATCAAAATCCAATGGCCATTTCTCTGCCAAGACTTCCAGCATTGCCAACAGCAACAAACCAAATCGTTTGTTGAACAAACGGGGTCGCCACGTGAAGTAGACATCTGCACGACAGGCAGGACGTGATGACTCGGAAAGGACACCAAGGACGGGCTCGCTCAAGAAGCGGGTTGGATTGGACGATGTCAATTGGCAGGTCCAAAAATTGTCCAAAAATTGTCCAAAAATGGTCCAAAAATGGTCCAAAGGTTTGGAGCTTCGTCGTGGTCGGAGCTTCGTCGCTGCCCTCTTCCATCTAATCATGGGCTTACAGGTGGCCCCCCCCTAATTACCTGCCCCTTGGGAGCTGTGAGTGAAGTTGAGTCTGGGTATGTCTTGGTGCTGCGGGTCGATGTGGATGGATGTGCATGGATGTGGATGGATCTGGGGGGTTTGAGCATGTGCTCGCAACGTTTCCGTGAAGCGTCAAACAAAAAGAACACACCGCCCTCCGCTGCCTGCTTCACGAGAGAAGATCTCAGCCTTGACCCAATTCTCTTTGGAGGAGACCACCAAGTGCTGCCTGGCACTCCAGTAGCTCGCTGAGGAGAAATCACTGGCAGAGTGGTTTCTTTCCTGGCTTCGGTCATGCAGATGTTCTCCATTTTGAGAGGCGCTTTCCAGCACTCTCTTCAGGCACACGGCATAAGAAACAAAGAACGCTAACGTGTCTCTATGTTGTAGATAAACCCACCATGTCTTGTTGAATTTTGACCAGTGCTGTGCCTGCTACTCTTAAAGGCAGTCTCCACAACAAAGCGATGCCAAAGCCTGGAAATCTTAATCGAAGAGTAAAGCTACACTCCCTGAAATCCTCATGGGACGTGGAGAATGCGCCCCATTTTTTCGATGAGCATGAAATCCGAATACCAAACAAGTGGTATCATCCATTCCCATGATGATTCCAGGCAGTCTATGTGTTGTCGCTGACTGCACCAAAATGGCGGGTGGAAGGAACTCCTCAAGGAGCCGAGGAGCAGCTGCGTCCCAGCTGAGGAGCCCGAACTTGCCAAGGAAAAAGTAAGCTGCTTGGGTCCTTGTCTTTGTTTTGTATGCGTATACATTCTAATATCGACGGCCTCCAACCTAATAGCGATGGGAAGGCCTCAAACAAGGCCCTTCCAGAATATTGGATAAGAATGGACAAGAAATGCATTGGCCGGCCCACTAATTGTTCAAAAACTACTTATATTCTCAGCATTCTAATGAATGTTCCACGTTATTTAGGATGCCTTGAGAAACAGGAGGGCCTTCTTTTTCACGCTTCCTGAGGGGGCTTCGCAGGGGCCCCCGTAGGTCTGGCCCCGGTGGCCACTTCTATGTCAGGCCTCTGAAGAGGCTTTCCCCTCCCTCCAAACCAACACATCGAGACATCGATCAGACGTGCCGCCCAAGCTGCGAGAAGGGGTCGCAACGTGCCTGAACGAGGCACCACGACGGGGCCGCCTTGGGTCTAGCGAAGCTGGGGCCTCAGGTCTTTGTTCCCCCCACAGTCTTGGAGTGGGGCTCTTTTATCATCAATTGATCTGCTTCACTTATGGACGTTCTAACGCGAAAAATGCGAAAATCCAACCATCCAACGAGAACCACAAAAGTCCAACCCAACCCTCCCACTCTTCCAGTGAAATGGCATTCCGAATCGGATAGCAGGCAGAAACCTCGGTCAAGGTCACACCCCTGTTTTTCTGCACCTCTCTTCATCGAGAGAACATGTGACCGACCACGTCTTGTACGGCGACACTCAGACACACAAAAAAAAGAGCCTTGACGTGGGGCGACTCGCCTCGAGTCGCGATACGCTGAGTGACCTCGATTTTGGACCCCATATTAAAGCAAGGGTCATGCCTGGGATCTTAGTGCTTCACCCCTGCCCTCCATGCTTTCCATGCTTGTCTCCCGCCTTCGAGTGGGGAGCCATCACCACGCGGAAGTTTAGAACGTGCGGCGCTGGAAACAAACGGCTCAAAAGGAGCTACCGGGCGCGTTCGGAGCTTCCGCGCTCACGCGCAGATCGCGGCCGAGTTCCAGCACGGAACCCGCGTTCCGTTTGGGGCACGGGACCAGGGCGGAAGTCACCGAAAACAGCAAGGAATCCCTTCTAACCAGGAGCCAGGAGGTCTGCCCCCCCAAACGTTGGGGTTTTGGATGTGAAAGAGGTTCCTCTGCTCATCCGCAGTGCAGACCAGTGATCCGGAGGGGTCTGCTCAGTCTGCTCAGGTGGATCCTCGATGTGCATCGAACTGCCGATTTGGACACTGAGAAAACTTTCCAAAGGTCCCACCGTTCCCCTTCCTGCCGCCCCCCCCTTCGCGGGGCTGGTGCCGCAACCGTGCCCAAAACGCTCCGAAACCATGAACCCAGCTCTCCCCTTCTCCAGCTTCTTCCCGCCCCGGATCTCGCCGTAGCCACGGCTCCACGCAGTCGCAGCAGAAGGTGTGGCGGCAGGGCAGGCGCCTCGGTGGAGACGCGGAGAGCGGCCCCTGTCGGCGGGGTATTTGGGGGTTGCTGACCGTTGCTGGTGGCGGGTTCCTAAAGAGAACACTCCCTGGAGATCCATCGATGGGTGGTGCCATCCACGAAACCATGATGATTCTAGGGAGTGTAGATAGAATCATCTAGAACCCAAAGACCATTCCCAGCTACCTCCCAACACAACTTCCTAAGGCTCGTGTATGAAGTTCAACATGGAAGCTGTTGGGAATCAGCTGGCATCAAACTGCTGCAAGCTCCCACCTGCCAAAAAGGGTGAAGAAATCGCAACGAGACATATGCGGCGGACAAGAACGTTGTACTCATGGTGTCTAACGGCCCTAGCTTCCCGTTGTCACATCTCTTCTGAAAAAAAGGAGCAATAGATCACCTTGCGAAAGGGCTTTTGATAGACAGTGATCTGTGTATATACCCAGTAAAACTTGGTCACTTTTACATCCTTAAATGAGGTCTTGGAGGTCAGTCTTTGTAAAGTGTAGGTCAACCGTTGGTGCCGTTACCAACCAAGGCAGACAAGGCGCTCTGCTGGGGCGCTCTGCTTGCATTTACGATTCACCAGGTCACCGCAGTGAGCAAGGTATAAATCGGTTGACATGCAAAGTCTCTGGTACCATGCCTGGCTTCTGATTAGGGCCCTCCTCGAAACTTTCTGATCGGTGTAACCAACCCATAAGCCAGCCATTGCCCGTTCAAAGTCACCCTTTGCCCTTCGCTCGTCTACTTGTAGCGAAAGTTTTCTCCAGGTCGCATGGGCTTGCGATTGGGCAGCAAACAAACAGCGCAGTCCTGCAATCTCTCGCAATCGCGCGATCGCGTGCGCATTTTTAACGCGAGAGAGAGAGAGAGAGAGGGAGTGATCACGCATGAGCTTTTGCGCAGCAGACACCAACCAACCAACCAATCCAACGATCAAGGCAATGGAAGCTCGGTCAAAGATGTGCAGCAGGCTTCAGGATCATGTAGACCATTGGAGCATCCCTTTTGTTTGCTGTGGGGATGGGGCAACTGAAGTTGGCCGTGTCTCTTCAGTTCGTCCGACCAGGACGTCCCGCCCCTCGTCCGACCGAAGTGGAAGGAAGTGGCGCGAAGTGGCAAGGGTCCGAAACCCCAGACCGAAGAAGTTGGAGGGGAAGTGGAAGTGGAAAGCCAACGATTTGGGGATCTTCCAGGGGCCATAAGAAACAGCTCTTACGAAGGTTGTTGCAGTGAGTGTAGGTCTTCATGGTTGTTCTGCCATCTGACACCCTCCAAAAAACCGTCCATGCACCTCATGAGAGGTGAAGAAAGCTGTCTTTCATCAAGTCCTTCCCCACACACTTTGGGCAGGATTGAGTCACTGGGACCACAGGCGTCCGCCATCCAAAGATCCTCTCACTTCCATCAAACTCCACATCCAAGTCCTCTTGCTCTTCGGCATGTGTACACCAAAGCCGCAGGGCGACCTGCGGCTTAAGTGGCCGGCCAAAGAAAAGAAAACCTTTGACCTTCGATTATTTGTTGCTAACCCTTCGCTCGCCCTGGTGCTGGGTGTTTTTTTGATTGAAGCTTATGACCAGCGTTGTGTGTGTGTGAGAGAGATCATGGAGCAGCAATTGTCTAACGTTAGCTACGCACATTGGTGAAAACCATCAGGAACCGCTTAGCAAAACCTGGCGTCCCTGCGCTTTCGACCGCCGCGCGGGGACGGTGCGTGCGTGACGTATGACCCCACGAGTTCGGAACGCGTTCGGAACGCGTTCGCCGCGGTGTGCATCATGCCCTTCAAGCCACCTTTCTGAATTCGGCGTCAAGATCTTCAAGATACGGTATAGTCAATTAAGTTAATGTATAACTTACTGTATAAGTGCTTCCTTTGCCCCGACAAACTATCGGTGTTCTTACTTCAGTGTGCTCTTGCTCTCAGCCTCCAACGCCTTGATGTTGTTCGACATGTTGGTGAATCAGAGAGGCTTTGGTATTTAGCCACGCTTTGGATGCGTCTCGCGAAACCATGTTTTGGATGCGTCTCGTGGATGCGTCTCGCGGATGCAGGACAGGACAGTGGATGCTTCGCGGCCCCGAAGTGACTGCTGTTAAGGCACTCTCACCTGGGTGGTTTTCGACATAGAGAAACCCGGCGAGCAATGGGGAGAACATCGAACCCAGTGCGAGGCCCGAAGACTCTTCGTTTCGCTACACAGCCGGATCGACTCATCGCGCGGTTTGCGGCGTCCAGCGCCAGCGCCACCTCCACCTCCGCATCGCCAAAACCCAAGGCCACCTTCTTCTCCCCGGCCTCCTGCCGCACCGTGCCCCAGGTGGGCCCTGTGAAACATGCACCGAGTCCTCGATAAAGAGGGATGCGAAACCTCCTGTGGTTTTCATGGCGAGGTGTTGACTTCGAAACACGTTCCAAGTCGAAACACGGTCCATTCAGGGCCTGTCACGAACATGATCTTGAATGCCCCCGGGCACCACCCCAAAAAGACTTCTGCACCAACAATGGCTTTGGCCGGCTGGGCACGGCTGTACTGCTGGGATGGCTGACTGGCCAGTCCCCCTCGCCCGTCCGCCCAGCCCTCCCAGGGCCGAACCGGAGGTCCGAGTGCCGCCGCCGCCGTGGTGAAGCTCCTCCACGGTGACGTGCTCCAAACGTGCCACAGAGCTCGACCTCAAAAAGAAGGAGGGGAACTTACGTGGAGATGGCGCCAGGTGCAAACCTTAGGAGTTCCACCTCATGGTGCCAAAACCAAAGGAATCATCTCCAGATCCGGATGCCGCCAAAGCGGGCGTCCGTTCGATGGGTCGACTCGTGGTGCTGACTGGTCGCTCGCTCCGACGCTCTGGAACCCGAGGCCCCGTGCGGGCGACGCTGTCGCTGTCGGCTGTAGCTGGAGGGTGCCTAGGAGATAGCGATACGTCCACCTTTAAAACAATCCCTGCAGGTCAGTTCAACCGGTTGTATAAGCAGTTGACTGGTGGTGTTTTTTCGATGTTAATCAGGCAGTTCAACCATGTTCCGCCTCATTTTACTGAAGTTGATCAAACAATAACACTACTCAATGAGGAAAAGGAACCCGGTTTTACCGGGTCAGGTTTCCCTGTTTGACTCCACCACATTGGGCGTGGGCGGCGGAACGCATCTCGTCGTACCATCCCAGCCACTGCATGGAGCGCCGAGCTCCGCCACTCGTCGGCATAGGAGGGCAGCGTCGTACCTCTGTGCAGCACGGTCCGACCTGAAGGTCGAAACCCGGCTGAAACCCGGTCCACAGGCGGGTCATCCACCACCGAGCTGTCTCACCGAGCGGATGTGGCACTACAAAACCAGGTGAAAGCATGTTGTAACGGAAGTCTAGGGTATATACACTCCCTGAAACAATCATGGAAGTGGAACGTAGGCCCCTGGAAGACCAAGTGTCCTTTACAAGGGGGGTCGGCTCAGCCACATGGTTTATGTGACTTTTCCCAGTTCAGGTCTGAGATGTTCACCTCTGGACCAGGTCTGGTCGATTTCGGAGGTGGTTCAAAGGCGGATGGAGGCGGACTGAGACAGGTGAGACCAATGGACGGTGGAGGCACCGAAAAACCCTGTCCAGGTTTTCAATCGCATGAACAAGCGAAGGGCTGGAAGAGGCTCGAAGAGGCTGAAGGGAAAACATCCTTCGCTGGAAGAGGACCAAAGGCTGGAAGATGCCTCCCCTCCCAGTCTTTTGGCTCCCGAGAAGCGGCGATTCCACTGGAACCTCCTGGTGGTGGGTAGAAAGGGTGTTTGGAAGTACATGAACCGGTGTTGCCCAGAACCGACTTCAAGCCGCCCCAAGAATCACCTGCTCAACCTGGCCTCCACCCCTCCCGTCACTCGCTGAAAAGATCCGGGCGCCCGAGCGAGTGGTGCCCGCGTCGCAGGGGTCTGCGGCAGGTCCTGAAACGGAGCGGGTCCCGAAGAACACCAAGCAACCTCAAGATTAGATGATATACTAAATCCATTTATCCACAAAAGAGTTGTACTTGATGATTCATCTATGTATCAAAAGTGAACCAAAACCAAGAGAACATCATAACATAATGTTCGATGATCCCTGGCGCTTTCTGCCAGAGCGCGGTACTGCGCTCTCCACGGCGAAAGGGGATCAACCCAGAGAGATCACAGCCCGTCGACTCATCCCACGTGTTTGCCAGATTTTGATTATTAGATTGATCTTATAATGATCTAAGCTGTGAAGTGAATTTCATGTGTACTTAACTAAGTAAATTGTTACAATGTTCATCAATGTGCAATGTGATACTATACTTTTATTGTAATATATTAGGAAACTGGAAGGCGCTGGTCAGACAACCAACTCCCTTCACCGACTTGGATGAGGAAAAAGACCCGCGGCCTGGGTCCAAGGGTCCTCACAGTCTGACTCGCGGGCGCACGTCCTAACCCCAAGCAGCGTTCTTTTTCCGCCCACCATGCGAAGAATGGCGAGTCGCAACAAGTACCCCCATAAGGCGCCTCAGGACCAATAAGCTCTGTGGCCCTTTCTTCACAACATGTTTAATCGTCCGCCTGTCCCACGTCCACGTGTTGCACGTCGTCCATTTTTCCCAATCCCTTCATCGATGGGTCCCACCTCGCGAGGATTTTTCGGAAGAGCCTGGCTACAGCCACAGCCTTCAAAGCATTGCATATGCAGAACTACCAAGTAACACCCTCAGGGCTGATTGGTTTGACCTGGATAAACCCGGGCATTTGGAGAGAATGTCATGGTCATGTACTCGGCGCGGCATGGATCCTATCAGAGAACACTTCACCAAACACTGGTCAGTCAAAGATGCCAGGCCTTGGGGGAAGGCTTTGACGTCGTGAAATCCACTGACAGACCTCTGCAGGAACCGTCGTTTTCCACGCCACCGATTTCACCACAACCCCGCTTCAGCGGCCAGCCCGTCGGGTCGGATCACGACAGCCGACAGCAGCTAGAGGAATGACCTCCACCCGACTGCACCCCTTCAAAACCCAAGTGGCTGGGCAGGCCTTGACCCATTCAAAGCCCAGCCCCTCGTCATTCCAGACCATCCCGGCCGCCGCATAGCCCAGCAAATGCAAGCGATCCATGGCATCCTGAGCACCATGCAGAAGGCAAGGTTCGGGTCTTGAGCAGTCAAAAATGTTGCTGATGGGAAGTGCCTCGTGCCTCTTGGGAAGTGCCTCTTGGAAGTTCCCGAAGATTTTGTACGCTAAAGAGTCGAGACTCATTTCAGTCTTCAGTCTCTGACTCTCAGTCTCTTCATCTCACTCTCAAGAGCGAGCAAACCAGATGTCTGACGTCGCAAAAGCACGATTTCACCTGGAGACGTCACTGCCGCACGCGCATCAGTGGGCAATGTCATGTACAGATGGAATGTCATGCTTTCCTGGGAAAAATGGAAGGGTGTGGAAACAAATGAGTATGGCTGTCGCTGCAAAATTGTGAGCCCCTTGTAAGGTAAAACATGCAAAAACAGCTAAAACATGTCAACCCAAGGGAGCTATGGGTAGCTGTTGACCGATGTTCATTTGAATGGATTCTATTCTTCAAGAGCTACAAATGTCCAGCTCTAAGATCTCTAAGCAAAGAGTTCGAGCAAATCTCCATGTCAGGGCAAGACAAGAACAGGCAGGCCCTTGGCCTGGCAACTTGTCTTGCCAGATCCTTTCATCCAAGAATCTCTTGTGTAGTTGGCAAAGCCATAGGTGCACACCAAAACCTGTCACCGCTCGCTGTGGATCGGAACCGACCGGCTCGCCGGCTCGCCTTTCTTGACCGATCACGGCTCCGACCTCGTTTCGGGGAAATCACCTGATCACCCAGATTCAGCTGGAACAAGCAATGGATTCACCCGGTAGGAAAGGGGGAAAAGAGACAAATCACCAACTTCCGCATTGATCCGCCAGATCCCAGGCCCATTCCATTTTACGTATTCTTTTGATTCGACCGGGAAATCCACGGCTCGAAAACAAAACGGAGCTCACGGAGTCCACCTGTCCACTGTCCGCCCCATCTGGCGAGTTGCACAGCCTACATGGAGGCCACCCAAAAGGCTCTTGGCGCCATCGAGCACCGCATTCCTCATCGCATCACAAGCTGCGCGAACATCGGAAGCCGCGAGTCGGGTTGGGTCGGACGACCTGTCGGGGGTCCCGCTGAAGACCCAAAAAACCATACATCCTGCTCTCTACAAAGCCTAATGGACGTGGAAACAGCAACAGCTTGAGGCTTGGACAACTGCTCAACGGTGAGAAGAGTATGGGCTAATTCATCCTAGATCCACGGGCTCGCTACCCCGCGCTCTTCCTCGATGCTGATCAACGGGCTCACTTCACAGTGAGGAGAGGTGGATCAACAACTATCAAACACCAATGCTCAATGCTCTACCAGCACCATCCAGTTTGGGTGGTTCTTGGATGGAAACATACCACGGTCCGGGAGTCCAACCAAACCACCCGTCCGGGCTGCCCGGACAGGTGGTGTCTGGTAGTCTAGTGAGAAAACGACCTACCAGCGATGGCGATGGCCTCCAACCTAATAGTCTTGGACTCGAAATCACGATTACTTGGAAGTGGTTCCTCTTGGAAGTTTTCGCAGTAACACACAGTTGATACTGTGACCGTCTTGCCTGTCATTGTGTTGAAACACAAATCCCCCTCTTCAGCACCTGGTCATGTTTTAGTGATTCTGTCGTGATTCTTCCTGTCAAAAATCCAACTCTTCTAGGTCTAGAATTCTGGAGCACCTGCGCTATCGAAAAGTCATCCAGATGGAGCCGCATCTGTGCGATGCTGCCCAGAATCTCTCCGTGGTTCACGAACACGGTGAGGAGGTCGATCGAACCCATTCCTTGGAGGTGGTTCCCAGACCGATCTGCAAGCGAAAGAAGACAGATGACCCGCCTCTCATGCTCAGCATGATCAGTCGGAACTCAGGAGTTGCCTGAAACCTTCGGCGGTTTTTGACCGTTAAACTGGAGGGTTGCCTGGACGAACACAGAGGGCTTGCAGCTGGATCGGCTCGCCACACCAACTTGCGGACTGTCAACACTCCCGCACCAGCCTCCAATCTACTAGCGATGGCCTCCGACCTACTAGCGATGGCCTCCAACGCCACATATGTGGGAGGTTTGCTACGTACCCCAGAAAAAAGATTGAAACAATACAAGAAGCATTGCGCTGGAGCTTTCCACTCGCTGGGGTGCTTTTTGAGACTCCGATTCCACAGATGTGATGCGACCAAACCAGGCCCTTTGCCCTTGAAACTAATTCTAATAGCTTCTTGTTACTACTAGTAAGGCACCTGTTACTACTAGCTTCTTGTCCCTGGGCTTCCAACCACCATAAGGATTTTACACTACAAAACCATGGTCTGTCTCTTTCTTTTCGTCGCGCGTGGGGCGAAGTCCAGGGGATGTCCTCGTCTTTCTTCCCGACTCCTGGGCTCCACGACGTCTCGACCGCTCCCACCGCTTTCGAGGAAGCAGCCCGCGGAGCGATGGTGGGCGTCCTCAGGTGGGCGCCGCTTGCGGCGGTGCCGGCACCCTAAAAGGAAAGCCGCACGGCGCAGTCTGGGTGTCTCAAGGGCCTCCCAGCAGAGGTGATTCAGAGTGTCCCCAAAAAACCAGTTGGAGGAGAAGCAGTGTGGGGGTTGTCCATCGGTCCCTTGCTTCCGCAGCTGGAGACCTGTCAGTCGTGTGTGGGGGAGGTCCATCGGCGACCGGAAGCTGTTGGAGTTCTGCCACGCAGGTCTGGTGCGGAACGAACGAAGCGCGTTTGGATGAAGCGAACGACCCATCGGTCCCGACTGGGGATCTCCAGCGTTTGGACACCGGTTGGTCGGTTTGCTACCTCGGGGCGCTTGGTCTTTGTTTGGGATCCGTACCCCCCAAAAAGGGTCTTTCAAATGCTCGAAACATATGGACCTACCAAGAGTCACAAAAGGATGCTATTTAGTCCCTAAGTGAGTGGATAATGGGCACCCCCATCCTGCAATAGGCACCCCTTTGTGACTCCTGGTACAACCTCCTTCCAGGGAACCGGGGTGCCCGAACGTCACATCCACGGCCGCTGGATGGGACGAGCCACACCACCATGACTCCTTCCCCAATCTCTGAAAACACACAGTCCGGGCTTCCCACGTCCCTCCAGACACAGCCCAAGCCACCAGCGTCGAGCTGCGGATCCGCAGCACCTCCCCCGGCACGCCCTGGCGGACCGTTTCGGGGTGTCCTTCACCACAGGCCCCCAAACCCGCAACCTTTCCCGTTGGAACCATGAAACAGAGTTCGGTTGCCCTGATGTTGTAGTGCCAAATCCTTAAGTGCACCATGTGCACCGCAGCGGACCGGCCACGGCCCGCCCCCTTCAGACCCCGCGAAACCAGACCGCCAGTCCACGCGGTGACGCGTTCGCGCCCCCACGAACGATCAGGTGAACGAACTGGAGGGACCGGGCCGGCCTCCATACCTTGAGAAGTCCAGTAGATCAAGAGCTTTGGGATGAGTTTGTGGGAGAGCTTTGTGGGTCGAAATCGGCAGTTGGCCGGACCGCTGCTTTTCTCACACTGAAGTGTGCCTGAAGGAGGGCAATCGCGCCCTGGAGTCCCCAAAAGCCTGAAACCGCGTGGAGAAAAAGGAAAAAAGCTGAACCACCGGAAACCGTGAAATCTCGGCTGGTTCTTGGTTTTGGGCGCTGCGTGACATGTGTCCTAAGAGTTTCAAACCCAAAACCCACAGTCAGTCCATCCATCCGCCAGTCCATCACCCACGTCGGACCAACCCAAACGGCTGAAGAACGTCGGCCCTGGACGGACCAACCGCGCAGTTCGCTCCGTCCATTCGGGGCACTTTAGTCCCGAGCAGGTTCGTTAAACACGAGACTTCCGGGGTTCGGGTCACTCAAAACAACTGCTTTCTTTTTGCATGGCTACTAGGTTGGAGGCCATTGCTGTCTTAGGTTGGAGGCCATTGCTATTAGGTTCCTTAAAGTCTTTTTTTAAAGTCTTTTGTGAGTGCCGGTCACCAAAAGCAAGCTGCTTCCCTCAGCGATCCCACGAGGAGATCCGACCAAGCCCAGCAGCCCAGCCTGGCCAAAGCCACCATGGAAGACCTGGCCTGAAATCTCCTGCAACGAGGTGCCCATGGAGATGTCTCTATGACTTTTTCAGTTGGGAAGAATGAGAAGACCTTGATAGAGTGTCTTGATGATAAACATGTCAAGAACTGTGAACGAATGCTTCAGTTCAAATGACAGTCAAGTCAAGAAGGATTTGCTATGAGATGTTATCATTCAATGTCGCTTGTGCCAAAGTATAGAGTTAACGGACAGGTACCCGAGCACAAAGAAGTGCCAAAGCATCAAAATGAAAGGCAGTGTCCCAAAATTCAAAGTCCTGTCACAATACCCCTGAACAAGAGGGACAAGCACACACCATAAACAATTTCTTCCTGAAAAAAAAAGTAAAGCGTGCTCCAAACACGGCGTGGTGGCCGGCGCCCTACCTTAACGTCCCCTCGTCCCAGCGCCAGCGGTCGGAGACGCAGGCGCTGCGTCGGGCGCTGCGTCTGCGCCAAGCGGAGGGTGGCGCGGGCGAGGCGCGCGTGCAGGGGCAGCGCTTCGTAGGAGAGGCCGTCGAGGACTGGGAGGAGATCAGAGGCCATGATCATGCAGTCCTGCTTTTCTGCACAAGACTGACTTGGTCCAAACTCTCTTCATCCCTCCCAAGGTCACTCACAGAGTGTGAACTTCTTCATGACATGTCACACATCCCATGACACTTGAAAAAACGCAAAGCTTCGATTTTTCACTCAGCAAATAGATGGCAATGGTCCATCCATTTTTGTTCAAGCTTGATGCGCTATTTTAAGATACACAGTTTTGGAGGAGGAGATACTGATACAGGTGTGGCATGAAGGAAAGGAAGCAGACAGCAACTTTTGTCGGATATATTTCATTAGTTCTTGTGTACAACTATTTTGCACTTCCCTTTCGTGTTTGTTGCTTCTAGTTGTGGTTGCCTTTAATCATGGTTCTTTTGCTCACAAGTTCTTCCTAATGTCCTCACAGCGTTTCTCTTGGTCTGGAAGCTGCTCTAGTTATATCGTAGCTGTTTTAAAATAGTCCTGCTCTCAACTGGCTTTCCTCTTAGTTTAGTTCTTGGGCTTCTTGCATGGCCATTCTCCTTTACATCTCAGTCCTGAGATAACAAGAAGGAGAAAGCTTTTTTGAGAAAGTCACAAAAACCATTGAGAATATGGAGAGGAAGGTCGTTGACCCAAAAATGAAGGTCGTTGAGTACCGCCAGCTCCAAACGGACGCATGAAACGCAAGACTAAAACAGAGCGAGAGGGAGAGGTGAGAGATGTTAAGAAAAACTAGTGACTGTAGGAGATGGGTTCGACCCATGAAGGCCTTGTGAAAGTGAAAACCAAAATGCTCACAGGGCTTCTGGCTTTCGAATCGTTCTCTGCGACACTCGTTGGAGCGAACCCGATCTGCGCTGCGGAGCGCCTCTCTTAGTCTGCCTCTCGGTATATCCCAGTGATGCTTGCGCTACCCTATGCTGGTGGACGGGGACACACCCTATGCCTCCTCTCATCTCCTCTCCAAGGTTTGGTGTTTCAGATTTGTCCATAAAGCCCCTGATACAACATGCAACGAAAACACACTCTCTGAGACCTCAGGAACTATGGCCGATAATAAACTTCAGTATGTTGCTTTCAATCTGGTCAATGTCATTCAAAGAAAGAAGAGGACAAGACATTGTTTCCTGCAAACTAGCAAAACGAACAAACAAGAAGCATATGTTGAAACGATGTTGGAGGCCAATCAGCAAAGGTTTACTTAGGTAAGTCCAAGTCAAATTCATGAAGATATTGGCACCCTCCAACAGGTCACCACCACCTGCCACTTTTAAGTCTGCGAAAGCCAGAGGAGACCTGTTGGAGGGTGCTGGAATCTGCTGAGCGAATGTCTGTGGCCTCTTCTGATCATCCAGAAGCATCCACATCAAAACGCAAAAAAAAACAAAACATCTAATGCCGGTCCCCCAGCGCCGCGCCCACGTCCACGTAGCGGAAGGGCTGAAGCGGTTGAAGCCCCACGTGCTGCACGTGGGACGCCGCGCGGAGCACGTGCAGCACCCGCGGCGAACAGGTGACCTTGGCGCACTAGTGACCCCGCGGCACGGATCCACATTGTATCCGCAGCGCAGCCCATAGAATGTAGAAGGCTGATTTCATCTGATTTCCAACCCCCCGTCTCAAGAATGGTTTTACCTCTTCAATATCGCCGAATTGGCACGTTTTTCGGTCAGTCGCACCATAGACATTGGTCAGTCGCTGCATGGTGACAAATGGCAAATACCAAAGATAAGAATAAAGCATAAGGGTGTTTTTGCACTGTGACTTGCAAAAGCATTCCTATGTAAATATATATAATATGTATATATATATATATACCTCACGCGTCGGTCGGTCTGCGACGACGGTATGGTCGACTCTCAGGTCGTGCCATACACAGGACCCCTCATGCAGTGATAAGGGAAGACGGAGCCAAGTTCTTCAAAAAGGGAACACGCCAGGACTGGATAGTGCGTCCAGGTCCTGAGCGTAAAACTTGTGCCAACGTAAAAAGGGCAGCCTCATCAAAAAAGGGAATCGCCTGTACAACTGCGCTCTGACAGAGGGTCCTGCCCTCAGACTTAACAAAAGTGGCCGAAAACTGGCCTGGGCAGAGTTGGACCCTGTCATCCTTGAGCAACATGCGAAAAGCCTGGCGAATCATACAGGCTACTGAGTGCATCGTCAAGACCTCATAATCACCGTGGATTTTAAATCCTTGGTGATGAAAGAGTACCGCAAGTTCGCAAAAAGCTACGGCGGTGTCTTCCTGTGGTCGCCACCTCAACTGTTGTGCAAATCGACAGATCACTCGCCAATCGCTGGTTGTGTAGTTCCACTTGGCAGGAGGTTCAATGTTTTCAGGAACTTTGGGCCGCCAGGAGAAATCGCTTCGCGATGCTTTCCAGGGCCATTTGGGAAAATTGTCGTTCTTGCCACATCCAATGTAAAGGCCTCTTGAGGCAGGGATTGCGTGTCGGCTATATCGTCCTTGGTGGACAACAAACAATGAAGTCGCACCGGCCAAGTCTGATGGCGAAGCGTGGCACGCTGAAATGCCTGGTGTGCAGCCGGAAAAATGGGTGCAATTTGGTTGGCCAACTGCTTGGCAGCCTGGTCGGCTTGTCGATTGCGAAGGATGTGTTCAAGAGTTGTGCCTGCTTCACGGGCTTCTTGAGGATGAATTTGCCAGATCTCTTTCCCTTCAAACTTATGGGCGGAGATCCATGTGGCAGCCAGCGGCTGTGAGTGGACGCATTTGCGAGAAAGAAGAACCCGTCGCAAAGTTCGCCACCATTCCTGACAGCGCCAGTGAGGGTGGATGCACCCTGTTTGAACAAGTGAAGTGAAGCATCGAACAACAGCCTTGCAATCGCTATAGACTTGGATAGGTCCCGTTGACTGCGAGAAGGCTATCCAAATAGCCCAAAATTCGGCGACAAAGCTGGAGAGGTTCCAATGTCGAACTCGGTCACAGAACAAGGTCCGTCCCTGTTTGCTAATTACGGCGAACGTGGCCGTGGTCAGCCAAAAATTCTGCTGAAAGAGCACCGAACAATACCTCAACGGGCGGGAGGGACGGATCGAAATCAACAACCCGGGTATCTGCGGCCTGAGAATGTTGCAAACGAAACATGGAGATCCTGCGGGGGTGTTCCACAATGCCAAGGAGGTCAAAGTTTTCCCCGAGTTCATCAAGAACAGGTGGACCCAAAATTTCGTGAAAGGACTTGCAGTGATGGACCAAGTGATCCATTGTCTCCTTCGCCTGATTGCAGAACCGACATGAGCTGGTGGTGGACCAGCCCGCGGCAAACAATCGATCTTTTGTCAGAGTACACCCCACAATGAGGGATTCAGGTCGTAGGGAAACCCGTGATTTCAAAAGTCGGTTTACGAAGAAAACTCGTGGAAGCATGGGAATCAATCAGCCCTTTGGGTTGAAGAAAGTCTTTCCTCTTAGAAGTCTTGGCCGCTACGTACATGGTCTGCCTTGCCATGCGTTGCAGTACAGTGGCAATGTCACGCGGAGAAGTACAGCCGAGAGAGGCTGGCGATTCCGCCAAACGAATGCTTAGATCATCCGTGACCTCAAGGCCAAGGATGGCACACGACTCCTCATAAGTCTTGACCAATGAATGGTTCAGCATATGTCGGTTGGGCCAAAGTTGCTTCAGCCGTGGCACAACATGTGGGCAGTCAAAGCAAAACCTAAATAGGTCAAGGATCGAGTTATATGCCAAGGCCAATTTGGGATTATTCCTGTGAGGTTGACCATGAAATAACTGTACAAGCCACTTGGACCGAGCGATCGGACGATGGCCCCACAGCGACCGAACGACAGTGGATTCAATCTTTCGCAGAGCACTTTGGGGGGTCTTCGAGATGTAGGCACCATCTGTGATCATTGGGATGGCTTTAGCCCCAATCAGAAACGAACGGACACCTTATCAACTGATGTGTCCGTAAAACCAAAGTCATCCTTTTCGGTGGTGTATACCCGGACTCCAAGTGTGTCTACCGTGTGGGAGAGTTTCATTCCAGGGAATGCCTGGGAAATGAGTTTCCGAGCCTTAGCCGTGGTCCCCCAAATGACAGATTTGGAGTCGTTGAGTTTTTGACCGTTGAGCTCGTCCCATAGCCGAGTGACCTGGATCGCTTGGGTTAAATCGGCGACAGACTGCACCCGGCACCAAAGATATGCGTCATCGATGTATGCTCGGAGGGCAATATCTGGCAAATGCTCGAGCAAATGACACCAAACTTTAGTGTGCACGTTGACTGCGATCAAAGACAAAGAACACCCTTGTGCAACTCCGTTTGGGGCAGTCGTGGGAATGGGGTTCATCCATCCTTTATAGCACATGTGTCTGCTCAGACCTTTGTATAGCTTGGAGAAGATGTTAACTACGCCCTTAGGGATACCAAAGGCAAGAAACAGGGCACTAGTGTGACTGGGAATCAGGCGGTCAAAACATTTGGCCTTGTCTAATTTAATGCCTATTAATCCCTGTTTACGAAGTTTGGCATCGTCGATGTCCAAGCGAAGAGCCGTGTGAAGGAGCTGCATGGTCCTGCCTCGGATCCCACCGATGATGCCTTCCGGCATGGTCTGCTGCTGCCAGGTTTGAAGCTGCTCATAGCGTGCGCCCGTGTAGGACAGAATGAGCGCAGGCAAAATCGTGATAAGACGCTTGTTCATGGCGTCAGCCGGGCCGGGCTTGTGGAGGATAATTTGCTTGGTACAAGTTAGCATGGATGGTAACGAGTCCCCATAAGTATCCTCGGCCCATTGGAAGAAAGCAGCAATGGGGATGAAGGCAATGACTGGTAGAGCTTGCAACTCGCAAGTCCTCCAGCCATCTAGGCCGGGAGCAGCAAGCTTCTTCCGCGTTTGGATTACTCCGTGCGGAGGCGTCTATAGGCGGGAGTTGTGCTTCTTGGGTCTTATGGCAAATGTATGGCCACACGGTTTCCAACATCTTGAGGGGATGCTCACTGAGGGTGTTAGCAGCATATACAGTGTCCCACTGCTGATTCAATCTTTCCATCGCCTTGTCCGGCTGAAAGAGAATGTTGCCATCCGAATCCTGGACAAGGTTGGGGGGTTCATCCTGCAGTCTATTACGAGGGTGATGGAAAACATGATGACAGTCCTTGGAAGCTGAGTGCTGCAGTTTACGTTTCCACCTAGTGATGCGCTCTTTCTTGATGGCCTGGGCATGTGTGTCAATAGCATGCCGCACCCAGTTGAGGGCAGCTGAATCGAAACAAGCGAAATCGAGTGAACGTCAGTCCAGGCAATGTCGGCATGGAGGGCGATCAGGCTCTTGGTAATCCGATTAAATGCGGTAACAAAGATGAACCAATCTTGCTCCGATCTGGAGCCCCTAGAGTGGCGGACCCACAGTTCTTGCAAGCGATTGTGGAGCTTGAACAAAGCCGTACTATGTCGAGTGGCCGCACAATGGTTGGGGTGTTGTGCGGGACAAATGGTTTTGGCTATGAAGCGAGGAGGACTCGCACGTTGTTGTGGGCCAGCCCCCCCAAGTGGCACTCTGGTGAAGCAGCTGCTTGATGCAAAATTGGTTGACTACTTTCCATCGGACATCAGGATCATTAGAGCTATCGAATTGGGACTGCCAATGTTGGTCCCACTGAAGATTCGCATTGTCAGGGGGATGACCGTGATGAGCACCAACCTGGGGAATACCCGACAAATCAAAAGGTGCGAATTTGTAGTGAATGTAGCCTCTTGCGAGAGGGTTTGCCATTCAAACACACATTTGATGGGCCGGTGTTGTTTCCCAAGCGATTCAACAACCGAACATTCGAGAAGTGCCGCAGAGGCATGCTGGTTAAGGAGAACTCCATCGATGGAGGAGCACCCCTCTCCTACACCACTAAAATTACTATCTCTCGAGTAAGTCAACGGTCGCAGGATGGCCCCATCATGATCAACTTGGTTGAGCGGATCTTGCCAACCCAAAAAGGTGGTAGCATGTGCGACAGACTGATATGTGGAGGGGTTGTCTTGAGAGTCCCCGGCGATGATAACCGGAATGTTGCCGAACTGAGCACACACCTCAAACAAGTCAGTCAACAAAGACTCGTTAGTCTGGTGAATGTCCGGGGATTGTGTTGCCCCTGTGACAGCATAGAGGGAGCAAATCAAGGCCTACCTATTGGGGGTAATCTGAACCCAGGAGAGAACAGCCCTTTTGGTGGAAAAGACACGGCGGTAAAGACCGGTAATATCTTCCTCGAAAGAGAAGGGCCAGATGCGTCCCTTGGGACCCGCAAGAGCAACTCCCCCGCACGGGGTATGTGATCTACCACTGTTCTGGATAAGTCCAGGGAGGAGCTCACCAGGAGCTCACCAAAGACAACATCCAAACCAATGTTCGAAAAGGCACAGGATTGCCAATCCTGGTTGGTTTGAATGGATCCGACGTTAGCTGAAAAGAGGACCATGGGGGCCCCGGAGGGCCCCTCCCCCGAGAAGCCCATGGTTGCATCGAACGATGCAGTGCCAAAGT